TGATGCTATGATTGTGCATTTGTGCTCAAATGAAACAATGAACGCATCTAAGTTGATATTTGGGAAATTGGGGCAGTCTTGATCAAGACTACCCCGAGTTTACAAGATATGAATACATGAAGGTAGGATTTATGGTCATCATTGTTTATATAGCCGATTAAGGATCTAGATGATATGTAATAGAATGGGTGTGTAAGCCCAATATACATTACGGTGGTTGTGTAAGCCCAAAACGAATATACGCTACAATGAATGCGCAAGTCTAAAATAAACGGGTGTGTAATCCCAAAATGAATAAGTCCAATATGATAGATGTATATGCCCAGAGTGAATGAACACAACTATGGGGCGTGTGATCACAAAATGAATGAACACAACTGTGGGGTGTGTGAGTCTAAAATGTGTAAACACATGAAGTAGACTGTGTAACCTTGTCAATGGAATTGCGTATAGACTAGAGGGTGCGGTAATGCTCTCAATATGTTTTGTACGTAAGTATGGGGGCAACAGGTAGTTTGACGGGAATTATTTTAAATACGTACAAATGGATCTATGGAGAAAAAAATCTACGAATCGACTAATTGACTGAGTATATATTATATCTATGATTTTAAAAGAGTTAGCTATAGGTTATACCTATATTATGATATCACCCTGTGTTGAGGGACTTGTTTATAAATATGTATAGTTGTCATTGTACTTTTTAAATGCTTCAAATTGCTGACCTCTCTCTGGGAGGCACCTCGCTTCATCATTATACTTGTAAAGAGATTTTATGACTGAAGAACATCTAGTTCAACTTAGGGATATATCAAGAAAGGTACATATTGAAGTGCAATTTACTTGGTGAAGAACTCAGCATTTAATTCTAGTGCGATGTTAGACAAGGTTCACATGAGAACTGATTTGACATGATCTGATGACCAAAGTAATGTCAACAAAGAAGTTAGAAGATTGTTATCAAGATGCCAATTAGCATTTGTCCCCAGTTAACCCGAGAGAGAGAGATTTGCTGGGATCCGCTCTCCTCAACTGAAGAGGTTGTAGAAAATTGTAGAGCTTTGATGGAAGTGTAGAATACTCTGTAAAAAAGATTTTTTTCACGAAGGAAATTTTATTTCTAGTTTTTAAATTCCTTGCATGGTAGCAATTCAAGACTTGTGCCCCCATCATCATTGTTCTCCCAACATACATGTTGTCACACTTGTGCGGTGTTACACATGCACATTCTCTCCTTTATCTATTAGCCATTCATAGAATTATAAATATTGAAAATATGGAGAAATTAGAATAGAAGGCTATGTATATTATTAATAACATATCAAGGAGTATTTATACAGTGATAATGGTTGCAAGGGTAATGCTATTCTAGGTAATAAATCAAATAATAAATGTAAGCTATACAAGATACTCCCTCCGTATCAATTTAATTGACCCATTTGCTTTTCACGCAGTTTAAGACAATCACTGTAGACTTTATTAAAAGTAAGAGTTTTTTGGTACTGTAGCGACACTGTAGCGGTACTGTAGCAGTACTGTAGCTGCTTTTTGAGTGGGATTCTTTCCAAAAAGGGAAATGGGTCAATTAATTTGATACCCCAAAAAAGGAAAGTGGGTCAAGTAATTTGATACGGAGGGAGTAGTATCTAATAATGGAGACAAATGCCATAGTAGAAATTAGCCGTTACACTCCCCCTCAAACTCAAGGCTGAGTCATGAGCTTGGAAGTTGGAGAACGAAATGAAGCAGGTGGTAAGCTTTTGGTGAAGACATCAACTAATTGCTGATCATATGGGACAAAAGAAGTGCAAATTGTGACAGTCTTTTTCGACGTGCTTCGTACGCTCATGAAAAACCGGGCTGTTGGCAATATGCAAAGATGCTTGATTATCACAATGTAACTGAGCGCCGTGAGCGGGGTGAAGCGGAATGTGTAACTCTCGAAGTAATAATTGGAGCAATGTTATCTCGCTAGCGGCAGATGCCATAACACGATACTCTTCTTCGGCTGAGGAACGAGAAATAGTCGGTTGCTTTTCTTGTGCGCCAAGAAATGGGGCTTGGGCCAAGGAAAGTGCAATAGCCTGTGGTAGAGCGGCGAGTGGTCGGACAAGAGGCCTAATCAGCGTCACACTAAGCGTGTAAACATATAGAGGAGTCAGAGGAGAGTAAAATCTCAAGATTAGGAGTTGCTTTGAGGTAGTGAACCACATGAAGAGCGGCATTCCAATGGCAATCCTGCAGAGTATACATAAATTGAGATAAGAGATTAACAGAAAAAGTAATATCCAGTCATGTGACCGTAAGATATAACAGACGCCCAACAAGGCGTCGGTATGGTGCGGGGTCAGCCAAAGGTGACCCGGTAGAGGGAGCAAGGTGAGTATCGGGATCCAATGGTGATGGTGCAGGTTTGCATCCAAGAAGCCCAATATCTGAAAGAATTTCGAGTGTATATTTCCTTTGATTGAGAAAAATGCCACTTTTGGAGCGCGCAACTTCAATACCCAAGAAATACTTCAAGAGACCCAGCTCTTGATATGAAAATGACGGAAAGATAATACTTTGAGTAAAGGAATAATAAAAGGATCAACACCAGTTATAATAATATCATCAACGTAAACATATAAAATAATGAGGTAAGAACCACGAAGATAAGTAAACATAGAATAATCAGCTTTAGATTGACGAAAACCGACACACAAGAGGACGTGGGAAAAAGTGGAAAACCAGGAACAAGAGGCTTGCTTAAGACCATACAAAGATTTGTGCAAATGACAGACATGAGTCTCCCCCTTTCGACCATACCCAGGGAAAGGGTCATATAGACATCTTCATGTAAGTCACCATGAAGAAACGCATTAGAGAGTAGAGACATCAAGTTGATTAGTGGGCCAATGTTTAACGGCAGCTAGACTAAGGAAAGGGGAGACTCATGTCTGTCACTAAAATAATTGCATGTTATATCATACATGTTATAAATTGCCTGTTATATCTTTGCACCTAAAATAATTACATGCAAAGGTATAACAACCAATCACTTTATATACAAGGAAAAATGGACATGAATAATCCCAGTTATTAGTGATTTGCTTGAAATAGTTTAAAGTAGGTCAATTAAGTCCTTTTATAGGAGACTTTGTCTGGTCGTCGCGATTTGGGGCGGTTCCGGGTGGAATTTTTTGATGAATTTTTTTGAGCATCTTATTCATCAAGTCTAGTTTACTCATACCAAATTTCAGCTAAAAATTCAATCGGGAGCGCATTCAAATTAATTCGAGAACGCAAAAATGCGCAGTTATCTTCAAGAATTAATTTGAATGTGTTCCTGATTGAATTTTTAGCTGAAATTTGGTATGAGTAAACTAGACTTGCTGAATAAGATGTTCAAAAAATTTCATCAAAAAATTCCACCAGGAACTGCCCCAAATCGCGACGGCCGGACAGAACCTCCTATAGAAGGACTTAATTGACCTTTTTATGAAAGTTCGAGGACCTATTTGACTGTTTTCCCTTTAAAGTATCAAAATTTTCAAAATAAAGAGCCACCCCTATACATGGAGGGAAAACATCCTATTTATAGGAGAAGGCTGCTGTAGGGGATAAATCTAATGGGCCAAGTGGGTCAAAATGGGTCGGATGGGCCGAAACTGGATTTGATGGGCCGATATTGGCCTCCTTGATTGGGCTTCACACCGGGGTAATACTTTGGGCCCCTGAATGGTAGAAGGCCGAGATAATATACTTCAATTGGGCCTCATTTTTTTTCTTTTTTCAATCAACCTTCTAACTTATAATTTTAAATTTATATATTATATTTGTCACTATATGTGCACAAATGAACATTTGAACATATTAGAGAATTCAAATGAGTTTTTGAATTTTTCAGTTCTCATTTTGTAAATCACATATGTTCATATGCTGCTGGTTTTAAGCTCATTTTAAAATGTGATATGAATACATATTTCAAATGTATCATATTAGATTTGAATAAGAGTTAGATTATACATGAAACAGAGATCATGATACTCAATTACATGCTTCAGATACTCAATAAAGAGGTTTGATGTTCAATGAAAATGTGTTGATGCTCAACTAAGAAAGCTTATGATTTTTATAACATTGTTCATTTGATAAGTAATGACATTGTGCTCATTTTAAAATGTTATAATAATATAAATCTCAAAAGTACTATATTACATTAGATTCACGTAGGAGTTGATTACAAATAGATGAGCACAAACCATGATACTCAATTGAATGTTTCTAATACTCAATAGAGAATGCTTGATGATTAATGAAGATGTCTTGATGCTCAATGAAAAAAACTTATGGTTTTCTTATCAATGCTCGTTTTGTAAGTTACATATGCTCAATTGGTACTCATGTTATGCTAATTTTTAAAATATCATATCAATACATTAGATTTGCATATTAAAGTTCATATGAGTTGATTATAGATATAATTTAATAATTTTTTATAAAAGAAAAAATAAGAAAAAGAAAATGAATTATAAGATATGAAGCAGAGATCATGATTCTCTTTGTTAGACTCCTAATATTCAGCATAATAGGTGTGATGTTCACTAAAAATGCATTAATATTCATTTAGTGGAAGACACACATTTCATTTAAATTATCAAAATGCCAACAAATGTACGGAGATCAATGGTACAACCCTATGTAGGACAAAAGGGGAAAATATTCATAGATAAGTAGGACAAAAGTAATTTGGATTAGGAAAAAAAAACCATTTTTTAATACTCCATCCGTATTTTTTTGTTTGCTACACTTTCCTTTTTTGAATGTATTCAAAAATTTGTTACACTTTCCCTTGTTGGTAAATTTTTCACCTATCTTTTCTACTTTTTCTACACTATTCATTACCCCTACTATTCCAGTCATAAAAAATGTGACAAACACCTATTTTTAGCAAACAAAAAATAGGACGGGAGTAATAAAAAAATCCATTTATTATTCCCACTTAGGCACTCGAACTCAGATTGCTTATGGAAAATGCAAAATAAGCAGGCTTCCATTTTTGGGTTTGTATCTCATTCACGCGACCCGATCAACTACTACTCCTATACTTGCATCCATACACACACAAGCTAATTAATACGTACGTATACAGTACTCCCGAATTCTCTTCTCGAGATCGCCAAATGCCAAATCTTTGACCTCCGATCCCTTCCTCTGCATTCAAACGCGCGCGATCTACATCTCTCCCCAGCCGTATACGCGAAATGGCGATGGAAGCTGCGGAATCCAACCACGACTCATCTGCCGTCGACGAGCAACACGAGGAATCTTCGCCTCGGGATTCATCGCCGCCTCCTTCGTCTCCTCCTCCTACTAATCAAGGTTTGGTCTTCACTCCCGCTTCTATGTTCTCGTTTTACTGATGTGCATTGTTTTCTACTCCTGGATCTGCTTATGAATTTTGACGTATTTCAATTTTGTGGAAATGTGAGTTTAAGATCCGGACTTTAATATTTTTTTTTGAATCTGGACAATGTGAGCTAAGTCTCGAGCTGAGAGTCGTGTAGTAGCTATCTACATTGTCGTCAGTGTTACCGGTCAGAATCCCTAATAACTGTTTTCTTAGGCTGTTTATATAAACTTTTGATGAGTTAATGGATGCATGCATCAATGAATGCTTTATAAAGTACACACACATGACACATACATACGCATATATTCATCAAATGATTATTTTGAGCTCCTAATGTGTTGTGGGTTTTGGAATTTTAGCATTGCTATTGAGATAGGTTAAGAGTACATTATTACTTCTTAGCTTTTACTAAATGTCAACATTTGACTGACTTACATTACTCAAATGTGATTCATTCTGACTTTAGTATATAGCCGTTCTAGTAATTAGTTTGTGCAACCACTTCAAAGTCATCTCTATAACCTTAATACACGGAAGATTAATGAATGTGGATACTTGTATACAGCGATTCTAAATGAAAAGGAATCATCTTCAGATAACTCTCTCCCTCGCAGGATATTAGGGTTCAAAATTAGCAAATTCGATCTTTTTTCTTTAAACAGCACAACATGAATGCACCTATTAGTTATTGTGCAAGTTTAGGAATTTGTTGAGGTTTCTGATATGCTTTTGTATATTATTGTATTCCAGACACAGAGAAGTCAACTTATGTTAAGTTCCTTCTTTCAAATCCCGAAGCTGGTTCTATTATTGGAAAAGGTGGCACTACAATTAATGACTTCCAATCACGATCCGGCGCTAGAATTCAGTTATCACGCAACCATGAATTTTTCCCTGGTACATCTGATAGGATTGTGATGGTATCTGGGATTGTTGATGACATACTCAAGGCACTTGATCTTATTCTTTCAAAATTACTGGATGAGGTAATTTGTCGCTTTCCAATTCATTTCCTCAAGTCCTCCCTGCTCTTGGTTAAATGTTCTGTTTTTTCTTGTGACAGTTTTTTGTTGATGAAGGCGGTGATGCTGAGCCACAATCAAAATTTAGATTAATTGTGCCCAATGGTTCTTGTGGTGGAATAATAGGGAAAGGAGGAGCCATCATTAAGTAAGAATCCTATATATGGAATGTCCTATTTGGAATTTATTCGATTGTTTGTCTGACATCTGCAGGCTTTGTGTACCTAGTTTCTCCACATGATTCATTTCCAGTTCTTTCTTTTTTTACTGTGACTCTTTTCAGTTGGTATTCTGCTACATCATTAACTACATTCACTGATGATATTCTGCAAATTTATGCAGTCATATGGACTTGCTAGGCCACTCGTTGCCAATCTGAATATCTATTATACATTATTCATAAAGGGATGGGTGCATTCATTCTTTCATCTTTCCACTTATTCTCTCTGAATAATGAAACCTATACAGATAAAAATACTTTTTTACTTATTTCTGTGATAAATAATAGACGTTCTGGTAGAAAAGACTGAAAGCGGAGCCGTGTAGTTGAGAGAGATAATGATATGCTCGTACCAGTGTATTCAAAAGAGAGTGCCTGTGCGCTTAAGCGCACCAGGCAAGGCGAATAAGAGGGTCATAGCCTGGTAGGCTACAAGGTGCAGTCACCTAAGTGAGGCACAAGTTGTGTAAGAAGCACAGAAAAGCGTACACTTTAGTCTCCTGAGCTGGGAAAGGCTTGTCAAACTTTTTCTTCCTGTTTGAGCCTATTTTAAATAATAAGTCCATATATATAATTAGATACAGCCCATTGCCCCATCCAAATAATGGGGAAAAACAACTTAAACCCATTTTAATCCTTCTAAGCCACAATAACAGTCTTCTATTATGAGTTCATTGTTATTCTCGCGTGCTCTGTTCTCTACTAACGCAACCTATTCAGGCTTGTCGATGAGGAAGGTGACAAAGAAACTTTCGAGGATGTTGAAGAATATAAATCATATAATGGAGAAGAAACGGACTCCTCTTTTACTGAAGAATAATCCTTGAGAGTTTTAACATGGAAAATTCAGCTAGAATCTAATTACTTTTTATTTTTAATTCTATGATTATTTAATTTATGAATTTTGAATTTGGTATTTCACTATTTTGTTTTTGTGAACTATGACTTTATTTTGGTGACTCATGGTTTTGTTTTTGAGAAGTATGATTTTTAATGCACATGGTTCAAGTATATGTTACATACATCATGTTTGAAATGAAACTACAAAGTGACTAGACATCTTTATTTAACCAAAAAGTTAGAGAACAAGTAGAGGGAAATAGGCTTCATGTTTTGTTTTCACTGTGTAATTGAGACCTTTTTTGTGTGTGTTCACAAGGTCGCCAAAATAGTGGTTTATACCGTAAGTTACTAAGGTCGCCCAGTTTAAACCAAACACACCCTTAGGAAGTGGCAGAGAAGATATAGGATGACACTAGGGTTGAAAGAGTAAGCGTCTGAGATATTATGGCTTAAATAATACTCCCTCTGTCTCTTAAAACTTTGTGAACTTTCGTTTTTTTGGTTGTCCCACTTTCTCTCTCTGCACAACACTCAACCACCGAGTTTTTACTTTATTATTCCGCGTGCCAGTCAAACTTGGCAAAATTTTAAGGGACAGAGGAAGTAAATAGTTGTAAAACCCGGTATAGCTACATATTTCTATGGCGGTGAGCAATTTTATAAAGGAGAGCTCTAAAAACATAGATCACTTTACATGTAAAATGTTTATGTTCATATGATAAGATTGATATGAAGTGAACAGGCAGCAGGCCTGCTAGACATTATTCAACCACGTTTTCAAACTAACTTGTAATGTTGGTATACCGGATGTCATTAGTTTGCTGGATATGAATTGGTTGTTGCTTTACATTAAATTGAACACTATTTTAACTGCTATTTAATCATTACTATTTCGTCTTAATCTTTTACTTAGTAATGACGTTGGTATACACATGGTGGCTTTTAATGCAGGACATTCATTGAAGACTCTGGAGCTGGAATAAAGATTTCTCCTCAAGACAATAGTTTACCTGGGTTTCATGATAGGTTGGTGACTGTAACTGGTACTCTTAATGAACAAATCCGAGCTACTGAATTGATTTTGTACAAGTTGGCAGAAGACACTTCATATATGCAGTCCATGAATGCCCCATTTCCATATTCAGGTCTGTCCTTTTTTTCTTTTTTTTCTTTTTATATCTAGACTTCAATTTCCAATTCTTTGGTCTTGGTACTATTCTCTGGATGAATACAGTCTTTTTTTTTGTACTCCCTCCGCCCCTTTTTATTTAGCCAAACTTGACTTTTCAAGTCAATGATGTCTAACTTTGACCGATTTTATATTCATACACATAAGTATTGATAATATAAACATGACATGAAAATGTTCTTTGTCAGAAATACTATCTTTAAAAGTATAAAATTATTAAATTTTACATGAATATATTTGTTAAAATAATCGATCAAAGTTTACTATCTTTGTCTGGAAAAGTCAAGGATGGCTAAATAAAAAGGGATGCATGTAGTATTCATTATTGCTGCCTTTTATGCATTGGGTTATTTGATAATACTCCACAATCATGTTTACTTAATTTTTTTATTATCAGGGTATGCTTGTTTATTTGAGATTTGTATTGAAATGGTTGTTGAAATTGAAGCAAACAATGTATAAATTTCTCTACCAGTTTTCATTGTGAATCTTGTTAAAGTGTAATTCGTCCATGCCAATTCTTCTCTACTACTTGTGCAGCAGCGTATATGGGAATGAACTATGCACCAAATGGAGTTGGAGGGAGATTTCAGAATAACAGATACCCAAACAAGGTCTGACCTTGTCTTTCGAGCCCTTTTTCACAAATTTAATTGCTTGTTAAGCTCTCTTGTCTCTTTTCTGGCTTTGTCTGAAACACGAAAAAATGACAGGGAAATGCATTTTTTAATGTTAAATTTCTCTCCCACACACAAAGATTTATAGATTTCTTAGCCTCTACTCTGCATATAATAATATATATATATATAGAGAGAGAGAATTATATATATATAGAATAGAGATCAAATACAAACCCTTCTTAATTTACAAAGTACAAACTCATCTTGACCGTCCGATGAGTTGATCCAAAGGACATAAAGGCAAGGTGGCATTTTTGTAATAAAACCCAACTTTTTTAGGGTGCAACTCGTTGAACGTTAATGTGCAACTGCTATTTTATGGTTGAATAATATGCACTACTTTGAACCTCAATATGCAATACAAAGAACGTTAAGGTGCATCGTACAAATGTTTGCACAATAAGCACAATTTGTACTTGATCTTTCCCCTATATATATATACACACATATATATAATATATATATATATATATATATATATATATATATATATATATATATATAAAGAGTGCACAAATACTCAAAACTGATCATTTGAGTTTGAGTCAATTTTGTTTTTACTATTCTCCCTCATTGTCTCCCCTTCCAAATTCCAAATTTGCTTTCTAGTTTCTTTCATGAGCTTTTCCAATTTCCAAATGGACCCATCATTTTCTCAGACCCAAAGAGATCCTTTTTTGTATGAAGAAAGTTCTTTGGTCAGTTGCAGGAGGATAGGAGCGACTCCGTGACAATAGGGGTTGCTGATGAGCATATTGGATTGGTGCTCGGACGGAATGGGAGAAACGTCATGGAAATAAGTCAGGTCTGTGGTATCACTTTATTGTAGCCTCATAGGACAATGCATAGTTGTGGTAAGACCTTTTTTTTTATTGTTATCAGCTTAGTGGAGCAAGGATAAAGGTCTCTGACCGGGGTGATTTCATATCCGGGACTTCTGACAGGTAACAAGTGTGATCTGATAGCTCCCTCTGCTTTGTTTAGAGTTGAGATATGCTCGGTTTTTATATGGATCTGTTTTTGCAGGAAGGTAACAATTACTGGCTCCCAAAGATCAATTCGTACAGCTGAGGCTATGATCTCCAGGAAAGTAGCTTCTGTCGTTGAGAGGTGATGGAAGGGAAGGGGCCTACATTAGCTTGTTGAGAAGGTTGTTCTTAATGGTCACATTCTAATTTGCGAAGTCTTGAACTGCTTATCTGAGGCAAGGAGAGCAAGTTTTTATAGAAGCAAGTTAAGCTTTTAGGCATAAGTGATCATAATTTATTTAATCGAAAAGGGATATTATTAGTTGGTGGTTGGTACATCTGACAGTAGCGTTATTGAGAATACTTCCCGAAAATAATTATTATCTATAATCTATAATTTTTGAGATACTCAGGGACATTACATTGGATGTGCCACTATGTTTGGGAAGTTTAATTACTCCGTATATTGCTTCTGTACAAAATATGGTTATTGTTATCAAGAATTATACAAGTGAATATGGCGTGCAAGTTGCAACACAGAAAGGAAAGTTTTTATCTCTGCAATATGCACTAGCATACAACTTTAAGTAAGAAACTGACGTGGTGACTGGTGAGCAGCTGGGTTAGTTGCAACATGCAAGTGAAACTGGTTATTTACGGTCTAATACTCTGATTTGGTTCCAGTTATAACCAGCGTGGTTCCTTGGTGGAAATTTAATACTTGAAAAAAGGATGGCACCTCATCAGTTACTTATTTGAAAGGATGTAAGTTGAGTTTTCATCCCAAGTTAGGATTTTTTTACTTGAACAATTTGCTGGTTTGGTCTTATCTGTTTAAGCTTAATCTGCTCTTTTTGTATTTTATAATTACAGAAGTCTGACTTGATCTGGTCTGTTTAAGTTAAGTTTGGTCTGGTATGGGACTGAAACTAGTTCAAGTAAGAATATCCTTATTGGTTTAATCAATATCTCCTTTTAGATTATTAATTACAAGACGAATGCATTAGAAATCTAAAATTATTATCGTTGAATGGACTGAATTGAACGAACAACAAGTCTATTTGTCGATTGATTGTAGTAATAATTAATATGAAAATACAAACTAGTTGATCATTTAATAGTGCTCAAATACGAATATGAAATATAACAAGTTTCAATAGAAGATGATTAAATAAAATAATTCACAACTTACAAAACACAAGTTCCAATCTAGCAAAACTAAGATGAAAGAGTTTAGATCCTCATTTGGAGACCAAACGTGAAATAAATATAAGAAAATACTTATTCTAAACTAAGTTTAGGAGTATGGAAGAGTGAATATCAAAGTAGAAAGAAAAATGAGTGTATTTATAGCTGTTTGGAGGTGATAGTTTCAGATGCTCGGCCAGGTATATAAGGTTACCCAATTGGGTATCCTCGACAATAGTCCGGAAGGTCGCATTTCACATCATACCCGATCGATGTGTCGGTCTACTCGATTAGGTATAAGACAAATCTTCTTAGAATATGCCTGCATGATCATTTGTTTTTTGAATTTGATTTAGATGCTTGAATCTAGTCTATACCTGATCGGGTATTGCCTATACCCGACTGAGTATGTGAACATTTTTCATATCTTCTTTTTGTCTTGCCTCTTTTTTTTATGCTTTAGATTTTCTTTATTTGATTTAAGCACAAAGTAACCTTAAATCTAAATAAATTACAACTATCTAGGAAAACAAACGATTGCAGCCTAATTGTGCAATTACTACAACAACACAAGTTAAAAGTGCAAACATACATAATAAAAAATCTACACTATTAAACTCCCTTGCACTTTAGTTTCTTACTCGTCCTCGAGTAATAATCAAAAGAGTAAGAAGCTGTTCCGTTCGTCTTAATCTTATTACTTATTCCTTAATCTTATTTTATTCAGATCAGATCAGATCAGATCAGAAAGATTCAGATCAGATCAGATCAGATCAGAAAGATTCAGATCAGATCAGATCAGATCAGAAACATTCAGATCAGATCAGAAAGATTCAGATCAGATCAGCAACATTCAGATCAGATCAGAAAGATTCAGACCAGATCAGACCAGATCAGAAACATTCAGATCAGATCAGAAACATTCAGATCAGATCAGATCAGATCAAAAAATTCAAACATGATTTATCACTTTTATTATTATATTAATTATGATTATTATATTATAGTTATTGTTAATAATATTAATATATTAATATAATAATATTATTAATAATAATATAATAATAATGTTAATAATATAAAATTATTATTATATTATAATATAATATAATACAATATAATATAATATAATATAATATAATATAATATAATATAATATAATATAATATAATATAATATAATATAATATAATATAATATAATATAATATAATATAATATAATATAATATAATATAATATAATATAATATAATATAATATAATATAATATAATATAATATAATATAATATAATATAATATAATATAATATAATATAATATAATATAATATAATATAATATATTTATAATTATAATTATAATTATGATTTACAATGTAATTATAATTATAATCATCATTATTATTAATATGATTGTTGTTCTTGTTGTTATTTTTGTAATTATTATTACTTCGGAGTAATTATATATTTAAATTAGTAATTATAGATATAATTATGATTATAGAGATAAATATTATAATTATAATTACAAAAAAATAATTATAAAATTAATCATAATTAAAAATATAATTACATTTATAATTGTATCTGTATTTATAATTAGTGTAATTGGTATAATTATTATAATTTTAAATTTAATATTAATTATTATTTTTTTATAATTATGATTATAATTGTAATTTTATTTAAGTTATATTTTTAATTACAATTATAAATCTAATAATTATAATTATAATTACAATTATAGAAATATTCAAATCAGATCAGAAAGATTCAGATCAGAAGAATTCAGATCAGATCAGAAACATTCAGATCAGATCAGAAACATTCAGATCAGATCAGATCAGCAACATTCAGATCAGTTCAGCAACGTTCAGATCAGATCAGAAAGATTCAGATCAGATCAGAAAGATTCAGATCAGATCAGATCAGATCAGAAAAATTCAGATCAGATCAGATCAGATCAGAAAAATTCAGATCAGATCAGATCAGAGCTTAAAAAATTCAGATCAGAAACATTCAGATCAGGTGAACGGAACAGCTTCTAATTCACAATTCACTGAAAATGAACAAATTCGAAAGAATAAAGTTTTCATTTTTACAATCATCCCCAAATTATAAACAAAGAGGGTCTTCATACGAACAAGTGTTCCTTTTATTGCTTGCATCCCAAAAATCAAATGTTCCTTTATTGCTTAACGCGGAAGCGGACACAAAAGAGAAGATTAATTGATTTAGGTAATTGGTTACTTCGTTATATTATGGATAAATAGTAATAGGGAGTTTTATTTAGAGAATGTCTAATATTAACTCGTACTCACTAGGGAGTAGGGCTGTGCATTAATCGGGTCGGACCGTATTTTAGACCTGAACCGGACCGGAATGACCCGGTCCGGACCGGACCGGTATTAACCGGTCCGGGTTTCGGTCCTTAGTTTTTCAAGATTCCGGGTTTCCGGTCCGGTCCGGGTCAAACCCGGAAAAAACAGGTCCGGACCGGAATAGACCGGTAACCTATTGTTCCATAAAATATATACTTCATTTTGAATCATTAGTCAATTTATATTTGGCTTACTACTATGTTTATGGCTTATTTTTGCCTTTTGTTATATAAACGAATATATACGGAGTGTGTATTTGGTGTATAATTATTTCCTAAGTTGTTTATAATTTTATTTTATGTAGCAGGTCCTAAGTTTTTTATTGATCGTAGTTTATAGTTGTTTGATTTTTCCAAATCGCTTTTTATTTGTTTCTTTATTTGCAGGTGTGTATGCAGTTTATATGTAGTATATTTTTGGACGTAATTTAGTTTTTATTACCCCACAATAAATTTTGCCAATTTAATACACAAAAGATTGTAGTTTTAATTATTGTGGGATACTAATTGTTACGATTGAATAGTTTTGAAGACTATATTCCAAAATTAATAAATGAGCTAAACAATTATTTAGTCTATTTAGCATATCCGCATATAAAATTATAGTTTGAAACAACAACAACATCCAAGTCTTATTCCTAAAAAATTTGGGGTCGGCAAAGAACACTCTAGATAATACTCCGTATGTCTTTTTTTAAAACTGGGTCAATTAGGGTCAAACCCGGACCGGACCGGAAAATTCAGGTCTGGACCGGTCCGGACCGGTTAGATTCAGGTCCGGTCTTTGGTCCATAGAAAATGATGATTCCGGTTCCGGTCCTAACCGGTTCCGGTCCGGTCCGGTCCGGTTTTGGACCGGTGCACACCCCTACTAGGGAGTAGGTTCGTAAACATCCGAAACATCTCTAAGAAAGGAAACCTAGCAGCCCTCTTCCCTTTTTGTACAGGTTGAGATTTTCCGTCCGCCCCCATCAATATGGGATTAAAACGGCAGATTATACTGATTGTAATTGTCGTAATGCTTAGCATTGCAACTACATCAGAGGATCGTGAAGTCTTGTTCGGCCGCTCTGACGATGGTGGAGTTGGTATTCACCCATATTGCAAGCGCTCATCCTTCTCCAGAACCACCTCAATACTAGGAAGAGTTTTATGGAATGATTTTATTTCAATATTATTTTCTCTTTAGTAGTACTTGTTTCTGTTTTAATCCGAATATATTTGATTTAAATGTTTAAATTTTTGAATTTTTTTTGATAGGCGGAGTTTTAGATCCATTCATTTTAGACTTAAATTAGCCCGTTCCGTATTTTGAATTAATAAATGGAGTTTTTTCTTTTCATTTTTTTTTATCAGATTTTAAAGGTTGCCTTGTATACGTTTTGTTTTTTAATATAAAGCGGCTCTTTTATGATAAGAAAACATTAACTCATACTCGTATGTGAAAACTTTGAGCATATTTTAATTTTATTTAGGCCAATTTGTATCTGGATCACACTCTATATCCAATCACACTACGCCACTACATAGTACATACACTTGAGTGATGTTTTACTCTTCTTTCAAGCTGTCCTAGAATGAAAAGAAAACCATCATAATTATTTCAAAGGCAGAATAAAAAGTCATAGAAACGCCTACGAACATCCAATTCAATCCGTCGTAATTAGTTGTTGATTTACTAAAAATTTAAAGAGGAATTTCCACAATTAGGAGAAAAACATGAGTAAGGGCCGGTCCTGGGGCATGGGCAGGAGGGGCATGCGCCCAGGGCCCTTTACTCCAGTAGGGCCCATAAAATTTTCAAATATGTGTGTATGTATGTACATAAATATTTTAAATATATATAAATTATATTTTATAAAAATAAAAAATAAAATCAAACTTATATTTTTAGATACTTCTAATTTGTTATTTACCATGTACACGATACAAGTCCA